GACATTGAGGATGTCAATGAGGCGGGTGAGGTTGTGGAAGACATGCTCCTTGAGGGCGGGGCTATCCTCAAAATAGAGGAGCTTGCCACTCTCATGCAGGTAGGAAAGGGCGCTCTGCAGCCGGTCCTCCGTCAGCCCTGCCTGCAGACCCAGGCGGGCCGAGTCCCACCAGCTCAGCCACAGTCGCTGTGCCTGAGGTGGCTGGAAGTGGAGTTCCTCCAGCACCTGCCAGGACCGAGGCAGGACTCTGTGTAAGTTGGGGAAGATCTCCCGGTGCTCAGCTACAGAGAGCAGCTTGTCACGGAGGCGTTGCAATTGGTGGGGGTCCCTGCAGCTAACGGGCAACACGGGGGAGAGGATCTGCAGCCGGTGGTTGAGCAGGTATTGAAAATGGGCCTTGCGCCTCCGAAGGTTCTTGTCTGAAACACCATAGTAGGCTGCGTGGGGGCTGGCAGAGCGCAGCTCGAAGTCCCGAGCCAGGGCCTCATCCACCACCTTGGCTAGACGGCTTAGGCCCTCTGCATCGTGCTTCTCCTGGAGGGAGATCTGGCGGTGAATGTCCAGACACTTCTCCTCAAGCTCCCGCTCCCCACACAGGTCCGCGTGTGTGCCCACAATGCACACCACGGCGTGAGGCACCCGGGCCCCCACCCGGTGCAAGAAGGTGCCCACGGTCATAGGAAAGCAGCGAGGTTCATAGGCGGCCAAGTTGACCACCAGCACATACAGGGCTCCTGGGGAGAGGAAGAAGGGCTGGATCACCTCATAGCTTTCATCACCGGCTAAGTCATACACAATGAACCGCAGGCCCCGGGAAGCATCCGCAGTCCAGCTGGTCACCTCGATGCCCTTGCTCCCAAGGGGAGGGAAAAGCAGGTAGTTCTTCTCCTTGTCCCCTCCTCCTTGGTCTCCTTCCACTTTGTCCTCAGTGAGGCAGTGTCGGAGCAGGGTCTTGCCTGCAGCCTTGTGGCCCATCAGGAGCAGCTTGAGGCGGGGCTGCACAGCTGGCTGGGAATGAGCCAGCTCCTTCTGGTAGGCTGCGATGTAGGGGATCCCCTTCATGCAGACTTCGTAAGGGGGCTGAATCAGGGGGTTGTCCTTGATTTTCCACAAGCCCACCCGGGAAAGCTGGCCAAAGTTGTCGGGCAGAACAGCGATCTGGTTGCCCTGAAGGACCAGCTCCTCCAGGCCCGTCAGCTCCACAATGGAGTCCGGCAAGTAGCGGATGCGGTTGTTATCCAACCACAGGGTGAGAAGCCGGCCCAGCCCGGCGATAAGAGATGGCACTGAGGTGAGCTGGTTCCGACTAAGGTAGAGCTCCTCCAGACCAGCCAGGGGCAGCAGCGCATCAGGAAACTCCTCAAAGAGGTTGGAAGAGAGGTTGAGCATTTTGAGCCTTTGCAGGCGGCTGAACTCGGGGGGCAGAGCCTGCAGCCCGTTGTTGTCTAACATGAGGCTCTCCAAACTGGCCAGCTCACAGAAGCCGCTGGGCAGGGTGCCAAGCTCGGCCCCACTAAGCCAGAGAATCTTGAGGGCACGCAGGGCACTGATATCCTCAGGTAGGCCTCGCAGCCGGTTGCTGGATACGTCCAGCTCCTCCAGGGCAGCCAGCTGCAGCAGCTGCCTGGGAAAGGCGGTGAGTTGGTTGTGGTCCACGTCGAGGGTGCGCAGGTGGTTGAGGCAGGAGAAGGAATCTGGCAGATGCGCTAGCCGGTTGAAGCTGACATCCAGCTCCTCCAGGTGGCCGAGGGCACCCAGCTGGGCAGGCAGCGCCGGCAGCTGGTTGTGGCTCAAGTTGAGCTTGCGCAGCTCCCTCAGGGCGCTCACCACCTCGGCACCCAGGACTGTCAGCCGGTTGTGGCTCACGTCCAGCTCCGTAAGGTGATGGCCTAGCTCCGCCACCGCAGGGGGCAGCCGGGCAAAGCGGTTCCTGCGCAAGACCAAGATGCGAAGGCTGCCCAGAGCCGACCCCAGACCTTCAGGCACATCCTCCAGGCCGTTGTTCCCCAGGTTCAGCACCTCAATGTCCCCGATGTTGGCCGGCAGCACCAGCTGGGGGGCGTCGGGGGACTCGAGTGAATCGCCCCCGGCCCCCGGGCAGCTGAGCGTGAGCTGGCGCAGGTTGCTCCGCAGCTTCCTGGCGCGCAGGGCGGCGTCCCGCCACAGTCTCACCGTCTTCAGGTTGCCACTGTCCTTGCCAGCCATGGCGGGGCCCCGCGCCGACAACCCTCACGCCGGCACCGGAGCCCGCAGCTGCATGCCGCGCTGCACCCCAGCCGGCGCCCGGGCCCTCCTCTGGCTCCCGCTGCTCCCGGGCCACCACCCCTGCGCGGCCAGCGGCCGTGGGTCCCTAGCGCAGCCAGCGGCTGGGAGCCCGCAGCTGGGGGGCGGCGGCGGCGGCGGCGACGCGGGCAGCTCTGGGGGGCTCCGGGCAAGCGGCGCGGAGCTGGGCTGCGGCCGCGCAACACGGCTCGCATTCTCCGTGCGCCGGGGCCATGGGCGCGCCGGGCAGCAGGGCCGCCGCCCGCCGCCGCGCCGCGGAGGATGCCTGCTCCTCTTCCAGCTCCGCCCGCCTCGCGGTGCCTGGGTAGCCGACTCCAGCCCCGCTACCCTCGCAGCGGCGGCCCGGAGGCCGGCGGCGTCGCCTCCGCTAGCAGCAGGAGGAGGGCAGCGCTCGGCTCCGCTGCCGGCATGCTGCGGGCGCAGGGCCGGGGCGCCGGGGGCGGCGGCGTCTCCTTGTCTCCGTTTCCCCGCGGCTCGGGCGGGAGCGCGAGCGCCGCGTCCCCGGCGCTGGGAGGGCTCGATCGGAAAGCTACAGCGCCGCCCGGTGGAGCGGCCCCCACGTGACCGGCGGAGGCGCCGCTTGTTCCCGGCACCGCCCCAGGGGCGGGAGTTGCAAGCCAGCACAAGCTGCGAGGCTTGGGGGCGCCGGGCATGGTGGTAAGGTTAGCGGCGTGGACCTTGTCCCTCTGCGAGGCTCACCGGACGCGACCCTCAAGGCTGGTGTGGGACTCTGGGGTCTCCGGGTTGGGCTCCCCCGCATCTGGCTCTTTGTTGGCCCTGGGTCTCTAAGGATTTCTTATTCATCCCTAACGCGTAGGATTTAGCTGGCTTCCTTACTCATTCTTACTCACGGTCCCTTCCCTGCATCCTACACCCACACTATTATGGAACAGACAGAATTCAGGGACCCGGGGTCAAGGAGCTTAAAAACGAGAGGGTAGTTAAACAAAAGGCAGATAGGTGAGAGTAGATAACCTTTAGTCCATTTGGTAAGGAGTTATTGGGGCTCATTTGTTCTAACTAGGTCCACCAAAGCCTAGTTTTCAGCTCCCCTGGTTTGAGCCAGCACCTTTCTGGCCTGCTGTGGGTGGTTGGGGGTCGGAGGCAAGGCAAGATGTCTTATCTGGGCCATCCCATTTAGCGTCACAACCACATGAAACATGCTACGTCTTGAATCCGACATTCCCGCTGCTCTGTGGAGGCTGGAAAATGACGGTGGGATCAGTTATATTTTTGCTATGTTCAGCTTGGGTTTGTTTCCATTGAAAGGAAGTTGGTCTGAGATCATATCTATACTAAGCAATCCCCTTTGGGTTTAGCAAAGCCTTGAAACCCGTCAAGACCATGGGTATCACCTCCACCATTGCTCCCAGTTGGTTAATCACCTTATCTGAGGAACCATTGCCAGGTAATGGCTGGTTGAAAGGGACAGTCACTTTCATTGGGGGTGCGGCCACTGATGGGTCGCTAATGCCCTAGCGGTTGGCCCCGTGCAAATAAAGCACTAACTGGACTCCGTTATTCTAGAAAGCAAGTGAGCAGAGAATGGGGAGAGGGAGAGGAAGGAGAGAGGAAAGGAAGAACATGAAGTTAGGAGGGAAGTGGGGGAGGGGAGTCGAGGGAGTTGAAGGGGAAAATGGGAGGATATGATCAATATTCATTGTATGAAATTCTCAAAAAATAAATACAAGAGATCTTTTCAAGTAATCAAATAGTTTTCAGCCTCCGGGATTTGAACTGAATTGGTTAAATTTGGTGCTTAACACACTCTAGCTTTACTCCATACACACAGATGTTCATGGACCATGTTCAGTGTATATGTCTCTTCAAAGACAGAAACTGACAGAGAAATCCACCCCAATGATGATTATCAAGTCCTGGGCAAGCATCCTGTAATAAGGATGTTCTCAGGGTTAGTCTTGGATACCTTGGGTAAAACCAGTAATTTAGCAGTCAATACTTACCTGCTTTCACTCTGAAGGACTTCCTGAGAAATGAAACACTCAAGGATTCCAGTATTCTCTTAGAGGTGGTGTGGTGTAGTGTGTGTGTGTGTGTGTGTGTGTGTGTGTGTGTGTGTGTGTCTGTCTGTCTGTCTGTCTGTGTGTATTCTAAATCATGGAGGCTGTCCCTTTTGTTTTTCCACAGAAGTAGGAAGGGCCTCGAAGATGTGAAGCAGCCTATCTGCCCATGACTATTAGGAGGTTTGCTGGCTCCACAGGCGAGGTGGTGCACTCAGCACATCCTCCCCGCCCCCCACACACACACACACACGGTGTTCATGAGGGTGAACTCTGAATTTTCCGCACTTCTGCTTTTAATAAATAGAATAATATGAAACTCTGCCTGAGGAGGAAACCCCGGCAAGCCCTCAGTGCCCTGCTGGATCTTAAGCAGCTCGCCTTCAGTCCTAAAGTGGCTTAAATTGCATCTAAATAGCCCTTACTAAACTGTTGTCCTTTGAAGCCGGCAGAAAAGTAGTATCCTTCCATGGTAAACGTCTTCAGAAAAGTCGTCTCCCTTTGTCGTTAGATAATAATGTCGTTTTGTTGATCTGTTAAAGAGAGCTGAGTGGGGTCCAGCCAGTCAGCCTTTAGCTGTGCCCCTTTCCCAAGCCTGGTATAAATGAGGTGAGTGAGTCTGCCTGCAAGGAACTAGTCTCTCCTTGCAAAGTCCTTCAAGATCCCAATGGCTACAGAGACCCCCCACCCCCACCCCCACCCCCATAATTCTAGAGTTAGAGCCCAGGGTCTCAGGCATGTGAGGCAAAGTATCTTCCCGGAGCAAAGTTAATGCTGAGGAAGTTTGGAAGAAGCCTGTTCCAGAGTTCCCTGAAGCTATGTGTGGTAGTGCACGCCTGTTCCTCCAGCACCTGAGGGCCGAAAGCAGAGGGTTTAAAGTGGGAAGCCAACGTGGGCTTTGTGTGCTTCAAATAAAGAAGAGGACAGAGTTCTTTGAACGCCAGTCTACTGAAAACTAAAATGGTAAATCAGGAGAAACAACATTTTATTTATTTATTTATTTATTTATTTATTTATTTATTTATTTATTTATTTATTTATTTGGTTTTTTCGAGACAGGGTTTCTCTGTGTAGCTTTGCGCCTTTCCTGGATCTCTCTCCATAGACCAGGCTGGCCTTGAACTCACAAAGATCTGCCTGGCTCTGCCTCCTGAGTGCTGGGATTAAAGGCGTATGCCACCACCACCCCCCCCCCGGGGGGGGGGGGACAATATTTGAAATAGCAGGAAGGAGGGAGGGAGGGAGGGGAGGGAAAGAGGGAGGAACTGTGTTATGTATAACTTCTGCCATGGACACTCATCCTGGCCTCCTGAGCCCATGCTTCAATTCCAAGTGGTTGATTTTCTAATGTGCCAAGAGGACATGCCCACTCCACCTTCTAGAACATTTTAGGTATGAAAGACATTAAGTTCCAGGTTAGGACAGGAAGGAGCCACATCTGTTCGCGTGAAGTAGCCCATGTACATGCACAAGCGTGTGGAACATGGGCCTCTGTAGCAACTCCCACATCCTACAAATGGCAAGCCTCCCCTCACTCCCTTTTCCCGATGCAATGGTCGCAGTTTGGCAAATGAAGACTCTGACTATCAGAAGCTCTCTTGCCTTGGATGTTTATCTGACGTCGTGGATCCAACCCATAAACGTTCTAAAACCTGCCCAGTGTAAGCCTTTTTATTTAACTTGCCTCTCTTCCCCGACATTGTTAGCCCTGGAGCTGCTGCTCTGTGAGCAGGATGACATCCCATGCACAGAGCCTTGGCCTAGAGTTTGGGGCATACAGTCTTCTCAGGAATGGAAAGTGTGTGTGTGTGTGTGTGTGTGTGTGTGTGTGTGTGTGTGTGTGTGTGTGTGTGTAAGGTAATGTCTGGAGCTAAGCTGCAGAAATGTGCCAAAGGTGACGGAAGCATCCTGGGCATCCCAGATAAAGGTCCGCCATTTACATATCCGTCAGTACCAGACTGAATGACAGCATGCTCTTATCCCTAAGACCAGCCACAAACGCCAGCTAAGCTTTCCCATCCCTATACACCCCTCTTGGGTCCATCTTCAGCATAGTTAGCACTCCTCCATCTTGTCAGATTTCTCTCTTGGTCTGACTCACCCCCAGACTGGTCTTATTGCCATTCCTGTCAACTTGTTTCTCTCCATCACGTCATCAGGCTTGCTCTAGCAAAGGCCACTTCACCCTGTCCTTTCCCGAGAATACTCATTCTTGAAACGGGAAACTTCCTTTGGACACTGGTTTCTTCCTTGGTCTGTAGGGTGTCTGGTGTCATATTACAGTCTGGGTTTTTAAGAAAAGAACCCTATCAGCATTAATTATTTCCTCCCAGGGATCAAGTTTGCAGTTGGAGTAAGTGCTACCAAATGACTGAAAACACAGGGAAAACTGACTGGGATTCCCTGAGATTTAGACGGCTTCTTTGAAGAGAACTTGTCACCCTGCCTTTTCTTGTTACATTCATCTACCTGTATTAAGAGGCATGGTTCTAAAAAATCAGTTAAGCACACTCTGCCATGGAATTTTAATTTTCTCAGTAGCAATTCAACCTTTTTGTTGAAGTGACCTAATGTTCCAGTTCACACAAAACTACGGGGTTTCCCACAAACGAGAGACATTCTGGGCTCAAAACCAGGCAACCCTGGGAACTGAGTACAGCTACTTCACCTACTGGGTCTTGAAAAGGATCTCTTCTTTTCTTTATTTTGCTCTTCTTTTATGCTTTAGGAGTTCCAGAAAACACTGTGTCCCAGAAATTCAGCTCCTTCATTCAACTGCTTCAGACTCTCAAAAATAGTTCTGATTTCATTCACTCAGCTGCGTTGGCGTTCCAAAGTGAAGGTACTCATGGCTGGAGGTTCTGACTAGCTTTGGAGTATCGAGAGGACCTGGCTGGTCTTGACAGGAAATTTGATAATCAATTGACCTTGCAAAGCTAATGACAACCGGGGCCGGGTCACTACACTTCAAGGAAAGGTAAACTTGAGCTCCCCTCAAAGTCTGGGAAAGTTGGCTCCTGTGTCTCTCAGAGACAAGCTCAGAACCTTTAAGAATGATGGCCCTTTACCTGTTTCCTTCCTTCCTTTCTGTTTTTCCTCGGGACGGCCTCCGTGTCTGTAAAGCCAAATGAAAAGGGAGATGGTCTATTCCAAACCATGGAGGTGAGATTATCTCTGCTACCCTTAGCCGGACAGGAAGGAGCAGTGTTGCGAACTGCTGGCTCTGTCTAAAATGACAAGAAAGGAGAAGCATGGGGCCCCGCCCTGCTGTCCACGATGAAGGCAGCAGTCCTCAAGATGCAGCTGCTTGAATAGAAATGTCCACCAGCGTCCTCACTTCATAGCTAGAAATGAAGGCAAAGTGCTTGAATCATGTCATCAAAAGCCCCAGAGACTGCAAAATCTGAGAGTAACAGCTAGTCATAGAGGCTGAGGTGTCTTAAGAATTTCAATGTCTGCAGGGCATGGTACTGTGTGTGTTTCGCACCATATTTCATCTAATTCTCCCAACCTCCCTGAGTCGTAGGCTGTAGTGGGTAGCTGTTCCAGCTTTGACCTGGAAGTACCACCCCCAATGAGGATTCCAGCGGGGGGGAGGAGAGAGGAGCCCTTAAGACCCAAGATCCAAATGTGCCTGCTCTCTTGGTTCCTGGATCCTGGATGCTGGATGCTGGATGTAGACTGAGCAGAGTTCTCCAGAGAACCCAACTGGACTGCACTACACCTCTCCGGACCGTGTAACCAATCCCTTTACTTGTAAGTTACCCCACAAAATAAATCTCCCCTTTACGTGGAGTTGCCTTAATACTTCCACCGATAGTAGGCTCTTAACATTACCCCCAGAAATGAAAGCAAAGCTACAGAATGGTAGATTGAAGACTCAAGCATGGCACAGTGCAGCACCCCAACAGCTGGTCCCGTGGTTGAGGGTTTGGGGAGGTATCTGTGACCAGTCTGGGGGTCCCTGGGAGCTGGCGGTGTTTGAAGTGGAAGAATAGCAAGACCAGGTGCAGAGGAGAGCTGGCATTGACTTCAGGGGCCATTGTACTGGGCTCTTATAAATTCGAAGAACATCACTGGGCAGGCAGAAACCTCTTAAACCAACAGTCTTCCTGGACCACAGGTCAGAGCTTGACATCTGGTCCCGTTACCACAAGAAAGAAACACACGCTCTCTGCTAGCTGTTATTTGACTTGTTTTACACAGAAGGGATTTAACAGGAGTGTCTATATAACATGGATCTCAATTAAAAAGCAGTTCATATTCTATGTTTTGCTAAGGACATTTTTCAAACACTAATTGATCAAGCTGGGATTACACGCCACGATCAGACATCTTTTGTTTGTGTTAATTTTTTTTTCAGCCTCACCCTTTCTTTCCTCCAAATTTAATAAATCTGCATTGGATATGCCATCTGGTTTAAATGCAAGCCAGTTCCCATCGGCCCTGGGGGAGCAGCCCGAGACTCCTCACCTGGCTGCAAACAGGGAACATAAACAATGCATTCGAGATGCCAGCTTCTCCAAAGGGCAGAGACAAGTTGCGCCAATATGTCTATTGTTAGTTCTTTCCCTGGGTCTACAGAAAACAAACGTATCTTGGAATAGGCAGCATTAAATTGAACGTCGGGTTTCTCTCTGTTTTCTGGTCGAGTGAGAACACAGAGGCTCCCCGCGGAGGAAAATAAACAGCGATGTACTTTTGGCATCTGTTGGCAGTACTTTCAGCTAAAGATATTTGGCAGGGGCTAGTTGATTTCCCTGGAGGCCGAAGGATTTATCACACTGTCACCTGAAACTCCAGAACTTTCTCTGATGTCAGCGTGTCTCCTCACCACCACCACCACCACCACCACCACACTGACTGGCTGCCCACCAGTCCCAGCCCCAATTCCTGCAGAAGACAGTCTCTTCCCGAGAAAAAGGCGGCGAATGGGCCCGGAGAAAAAGGAATGGAAACCACCTGTGAAATAGTTGTGGGAAATAGTTGTGGCGAACAAGGCTGGCTATAGTTCACTTGGCACTTGGGAGTGCGTGGGGGAGGGGCATGGGAATAGCGCAGGAGAAGCATGGAGTTGGCTCTGTGCCCGGTGCTAAAGGTGACCTGGGGAGTCCTCCACAGCAGCTTTGTACAAGGTGCCTCTCTGTACCTGTGTGCAAGGCACCGTGAGGCGTCACACTCCGAAGACCTCACGGTGTTCCACCAGCCAGGGAGGGAAGTCAGTCCGGCTTTAGCTTCCACTCCCTCCCTCCAAGGATGGTGTATGTGGCACATGAACCCAGCAGCTTTATTACGGATTTAGTGGCGTGTCCGAAATTGTATGAGATTTGCTGACGGTGAGCCAGACGGATGCTTTAAGGTTTTACTTCGATAGGTGCAGTTTTTAAAAACATGTCCCACTAACAGAACCTAATGTGCCTAATTTATAAATGGGTCACCCAGAGTAGTAAGCCCTCCTTTTTTGAACTTGGTTATAATTTTTAAGACTTAGTGTGTGTCTGTGGGTGTGTGGGTGTGTATTGGTGAGTGTGCTCATGACTGAAGGTGCCTGCAGAGGCTAGAAGGAAGCGTTTGATCACCTACTGAGAGTGACAGATGGTTTGTGATGCAGCTGAAGTGGGTACTGGGAATGTAACTCTGGTCTCCTGAAGGGCTAGAACACACTTGTATTTGTCAGGGTTTTATATATATATATATATATATATATATATATATATATATATATATATATATATTAGACTTCTGTCTTCTGTTAAGATTTTTATTGCTGTGAAGAGACACTATGACCACAGCAACTCTTATAAAGAAAACATTTCACTGGGGTGACTCGCTTACAGTTTCTGAGGTTCAGTCCCTTATCATGACGGGGAGCATGGCAGTGTACAAGCAGACATGGTGCTGGAGCTGAGAGTGCTACATCTTGCAGGCAACAGGAAGTCAACTCACAGTCACACTGAGGGAAGCTTGAGCAAAAGAGACCTCAAAGCCCGCCCCTTCAGTGACACGCCACTCCCTTTGGGGGGCCATTTTCTTTCCAACCACCACAGTTTGTTAGAGTGGCTTGCAGACTGAGGTCCAGCTAGTCCAAAAAAGGCTGTCAACTAACAGAAAGTCCAGGAATCCAGTAGTTGTTCAGTCCACAACACCGAGTATCTCAGCTGGAATCCAAAGAAGCAGGCTCTAATGCCAGTGAAGGAATGGACTTGCTAGCAAGGTGAGAGGAAGCAGGCAAGAGCGAAGCTTCCTTCTTCCATGTCTTTATATAGATTGCCCCCAGAAGGGGTGGCCCCGTTTAAAGGTGGTTCCTCCCACCTCAAAAGATCCAAATTAAAGGTGGGTCGTCCCATTTCAAATGATTTCATTAAGAAAACTACCTTTCAGGTATACCTAGATGCTCAGGTTTTAGTTAAGTCCAGATGTAGTCAAGTTGACAACCAAAAGTAGCCATCAAAGTGCTCTTAACTGCTGAGCCATCTCTCCAGCCCCCATTATAAAAGTGTTTCAAGTTGCAGTGGTATATAGCTGGCTTTTTCTTTTGTGCCACCAACCAGCTCCCAAATCATGACATAGAGACTTCTTATTAGTTTCGAATGCTCAGGCTTAGCTTAGCTCTTATTTTAATCTGTTTTTCTTTATGTTTTGCCTCAGGGCCTTTTACCTTTCTCTCTGTATATCTTACTTTCCTTCTGTCTCTATGTCTGGCTGGCTGGCAGCTGCCTAACTCCTGGCCCTGGACATGTCCCCTCTTTCTCCTTCTCTTCTCTTCTCTTCTCTCATTCTTCTCTCTCGAGTTTAGATTTCTCCTCCTTACTTATTCTCTCTGCCTGCCAGCCCCGCCTATGCTATTCTCTGTCCAGCTATTGGCCATCTGCTCTTTATTAGACCAATCAGGGGCCCTAGGCAGGCAAGGTGAAACAAATGCAACACATCCTTACATAATTAAACACACATCATTACATCATTAAACAAATGCAGTATAGACAAATGTAACACACCTTTACACAGTTAAAGTAATACTCTGCAGCATAAACAAATCAAACACATTTCTGCATAGTTCAATATTCCACGACATATTCCATGGCATATGCATCAGCTACTTTTCTCATCCTGTGATACAATACCATAGCCAAGAGCAACTTATAAAAGGCATTTATTTTGCCTTAAGGTTCCAGTTAGTTTTTGTCAACTTAACACAAGCAGGGGTGTTGTTGGGAATTTGTACACTGTGTGAAGATACATTGCTGTGATTGGTGTAATAACGAACTGAATGGCCAATAGCTAGGCAGGGAGGATAGGCGGGATTTCTGGGGAGAAAGAGGAAGTAGAGGAGAAATCTAGGCTCACAATTTACACTAAGAGACCAAGAGATACCAACAAGATGTGGAGGGACTCAGACATACTGAGTGAAGAAAGGTAAAAAGCCATGAGGCAAAAATGTAGATTAATATAAACGGGTCAATTCAAGTTATAAGAGCTAGTGAGACAAGTCTAAGCTAAGGCTGAGCTTTCATAATGAATAATATATCCCCATGCCGTTATTTGTGACCTTGAAGACCAAAGAAAAATCTCACTACACAGGGGTGTCTGAAAAGAGGGAACCTTAATTAAGAAAATGCCTCCTTCAGATTGACCTGTAGGCAAGCATATGGGCATTTTCTTGATTGATGATTGATGTAGGAGGGCTCAGCCCATTGTGAGTGGTGCCATCCTGGCAGTTAGTCTTGAGTTGTATAAGAAAGCAAGCTGAACAAACCATGGGGAGGATGTAGTTAGAGTTTTCCTGCCTGGCCCACAGTCAGGACAAATCTCTGTCACCCGCCAGTCCCAAGCCGCTCAAACCCGATCAAGTAAACACAGAGACTTATATTGGTTACAAACTGTATGGCCATGGCAGGCTTCTTGCTAACTGTTCTTACAGCTTAAATTAATCCATTTCTATTAATCTATACCTTGCCACGTGGCTTGTGGCTTACCGGTACTTTACATCTTCCTTGTCCTGATGGCGGCTGGCCGTGTCTCTCTCACCCAGCTTCCTGTTCTCTCAATTCTCCTCTCTGTTAGTCCCGCCTATACTTCCTGCCTGGCCACTGACCAATCAGTGATTTATTCATTGACCAATCAGCAACACACTTGACATACAGACCATCCCACAGCAGGAGGAAGCCAGTAAACAGCATTCCTCCATGGCCTCTGCTTTAGTTCTTGACTCCAGGTTCCTGCCCTGCTTGAGTTCCTGCCTTGGCTTCTCCCTTCATGGAGGACTGTAGTCAAGAGCTGTAAGCCAAATAAAGCCCTTCCTCCCCAGGTTGCTGTTTTGGTTATGGTGTGCAGCACAGCAACAGAAAACAAAATATGACAAATGATAAGGGTCCGTACTGGCAGGGAGGCATGATAGCAAGCATAAGGAACAGGAACAACCACAAACAGGAAACAGAGTGGGGGGGGGGGGGGGAGATGGGCACTGAAAGTGGATCAAGCCTACCCCAATGACGTACTTCCTCCAGCAAATCTCTGTATCCTAAAAGTTCCATCTCCTCCCCAAATAGTGCCACCAAATGGGGACCAAGTATTCAAACACACAAACCTATGGGGAACATTTTTCCCTCAAACTACCTCAGTTACAAAGCATAGCATCAAAAATGTCAAGTCCTAACAAAGAACTGCAATTTTGATTATTATTATTATTATTTGATTATTGTTATTATTTGATTATTATTATTATTTGATTATTATTTGATTATTACCATTATTTGATTATTATTGCTAGAGTCAGGTCAAGCCCAGCTATGACTGTCCTCATACTCTAATAAATGGCCTCCACAATCAGCTTCTTAGGGAGGAAAAGCTACTTTGACTCCTGGTTTTGAAGGCTTAAGTCTGTGACCACAGGCTCCGTTGCTTTGGCCTTGTGGTAGCACATCATGGTGGAAACACATGAAAAAATAAGCTACTTCACCTCAAACTGAGAGGAAAGAGAGCACAAAATGCAAGGGTCCCACCATCCCCTTCAAAGACCCACATCCAACACCCCACTAGCCTCTGCCTTTCAAGGTTCTTCTACCTCCCAAAAGCAACAAGATGAGAACTGAGCCTTTAACACGAAGAACATTCCAGATCTAAACTGTAGCAAAATCTATCAAGTACACATCAAGGAAATCCAAGCAGCAATTTTTGGTATCTTAATACTACTCTGGTAGGAAGAAAGAATTTCTGTTTACTCTTCTGCAAAATGGAACCAAAACCCAGTTCCCTATTTCCTTTCCGCCCCATCCTATGAAATGGAGAGATGGCTTGGCATAATGGCGTGTAAGGATAAGAGACTGTGGTGTCGTAAGATAAGCATGGTGGTTGATCATTTCGTTTTTGTTTTCATTTATCCAACAACAACATTTATATAACATCGTATCTAAG